CCACCATCTCCTTATAAATTACTTCTTATATAAGATTTGAAAGTGTCAAATTTCACACTATTATTCAAAAAAATATTGTTAATTTTTATTTTTTTTATCAATTAAATGTGATTATAATCTGTTTTTAAAAGTAAATAATATTTTTTAATAAAAAAAAAAATAAAAATATAAATATTTTATTATAAAAGTTCCCATTAGTCTATTATAGGCTGCCCAACATAACTACCGGGACCCACAAAATGTCAGTGGACCCCACATCGCACGAGCCAACGCGTGCCACACGAACAAGAGAAACTGGCACGAATGTTCTCATAGGAATTAACGATTTCTATTTATCCCTTAAGCTTAAATAATTTGTTCATTGTGTTGCGTAACGTTTTCTTGAACCAGAATTTTAGAGAAAGAAATCGCAGCACATACGCTGTAAATCATGGGTTTGAAGGTAGGTTGCCGAAATCCTGTCTAGTTTTGGCTCAGTTTCCTTCAATCATGTGATTAGCAGCTTTCCCATCCTTGAATGTTTTTCTTGTTAGATTTGTTTGAAAATCGAGTGAATAGCGTTCAATATTGCTATAGATTTTTGGTTCAGATCTCTTGAATGCTAATTTTTTTTTTGTGGGTTTCATTTTTTATGCATCTCAGATGACAGATCTTCTGATGGGTGTTTACAGATCTTACTGACGTTTGAGTATATAATCTACGTGTGCTCTTGTAAATCTCAATTGATTATTTTAATTAGAGCACTCTTTGTTAACAATTTTCTGGGTTTAAGTTTTCTGTACTTGGGATTAGTTGTTGGAACTCGGGAACTGATGCAGATTTGAGTGGTCTACTCAATTGCTGCTCTCTGGATCTGCTTGCTTGTGTTCCTGTTAACATTGTAAAAAATAAAAGATGGGAATTAGAAATTTTCATGTATTTTTAGGCATTTTCTTAAGTTTTTTAGTATGGAGACCAAGTTTAATTCATTATCTTCTTTAAATTAGTCCAGGGCTGTGGTTAAGAGAGTGCTTAAGTTCTCTCCGCTGTCAAGCCTCTAAAATGAATGAAGTTTTGATTTTTCTTACATATGCCTTGTTAGAAAAGATTTTGATCTAAGGCTTTGTCTTACCTCATATATATCATAAGCTTTTTAATTAAAAAATTAATGAATTTTACATGGGTTCATCGCGTCTTTCTTTGGTCGATGGGGTATGTGTACGATATATGATTATGATTAATCATGCATGCTTGGCATTTCAGCTCTATGTTTTGGCCCCCATAAGTGTATGTAAATGTTGTCTTACAAGATAGCCTTGATAATGTAAGGCACTATATCAGTCTATCCTATTTGCAGTTTGTATTGGTAAGGATCCATGGATCTCAATGGTGTCATTTCTTTAAGTTCAGTTTTCTCTTCTTCTTTTTGCCATTTCCTTAAACAAATCCATTTGCCCGGTTGTGTTTAGGCCAAACCCCCTATTTACATTCTGTACATTATTTTTTCCTGCGGTAAACACTCTCAAGAATTTTTACTCCCATTCAATACCTTCCATAACTTAAAACCCATAAAAACTCAAAAATTAATGGTCAAACCCCCTATTTGCACCTTGATTTTGTTAATTTGGGGCCTTTTGCGGGTTTCAAATTGTGGAGGGTGGTGACTGGGAGTGAAAATTATGAAGCATGTGAACCGTGGAAAAAAATGATGTGTAGGGTGCAAATAGGGGATTTGGCCTTTTGTTTATTAGCAGGTTAACACTTTAGCTTTCCTTATTTTAGAAGTGACTCTTGTTTTGATGTGACATTCTGTCTGGTTTGGGGCTTTGCAGGAGGAATTTGAGGAGCATGCTGAGAAAGCCAAGACACTCCCAGAGACTACAACAAACGAGAACAAGCTTATTCTGTATGGGCTGTACAAGCAAGCCACTGTTGGACCAGTGAACACCAGTGAGTATCAAACTCAATCTATAAATTAGTCACTTCTTCCCACTCTTCATAATTTCTAGATTAGCTCTAATTTTAGCAAAAGGTCAACTACTTTTATATCTTCCCTTGAAACTGATTCACCTATATTACTCTTTTGATTCCTCTTCTCAGGCCGTCCTGGAAT